TAGAAAAAGCAAACATAATGTTTCTAAATGTTTGAATGAACATATGATATCCCATAAAATAAAAATAAACATACTGTAGACGTGAGTAGTATTCATAACTACACAAAATTATGGAGAACAAAATCTTCTACAAGATAAAATTTGGACCGGTTGGCAAATTTAACAACAGTTAAGAGTTTGTTAATTCCAAATTCACATACCCAATTGGAATTAATGGCCTGGGTTAGATTGACCTGCCTTTAAGAGACTTGAAGTGACCAAAGTATGACAGATCCATCCAATAACATTGGTAGGGAACTGTAACAACATGTATTCCAAGTAATCATCTGAAACTGACCCTGTATCAGATTTGAAAAAGGATTGAGAAAAATGAATCACCTGAAAATAAACAAAACAATCACAAAAGTCACAACATAGCAAACAAAATGACCTCAACAATCAAATTCTCTGACCAGACTTGGGTCCTACTTCCTATATACCCTTTGATAGCATAGTTTTTTTTTTAAAAAAAAATTATTATATGTTGGATCATAGCTCTGAATAGACATTTGAGTATCGAGCTTAAAAACTTCTGTATATGTTGTCCTTGTGCCATAAATTACAAATTAATCCACTTCACTGAAAAAACAAGAACAATAAAGTTATCTTTTTGTCACCTGGGAGATAAAATCTTTGATAGCATCTGGAAGCCAAGACAGTTGCACATTGGAAAATTTTGAACCTTGTAACGCTTTGGTTTTTATTTTTTCGAACCCATGTTCGTTAAGAAAAGTTCTTCTTCGCAAGTCATTTAGTTTTGAACCCTTTTCCAGTTTATACATTGCTTTGTTATGGATGGTGATGCTCGACTTTTTGGTTCAAAACCAATAAACATTTGTGATTCTTGTTATTCAATTTTGGCTTTTACTTTTGGTGAGTTCTAAATAGCGACTTTGCATTAATTTTGTGCAGCGAAAGCAAAGCATATCACTGTAACCTGGGGAGCAATTTAAGCTTAGTGGTGCCCCTCTGGAAACATTGCATCAAACCTGTGCTGAGGTTAATTCACACCTTTATCAGGTTTGTGTAAAACTTTAATTTTAGCATATAGATGAAGACATGTAATTATTTTATTATCAAGCCTTCAATTATGAGAAGATGTATATTTGCAATTCTCAAATCATATATGATAGATGGCCTTTTTATTTATTTATGTTAGTCTGTGAAGGTGGGATTTTTATTCTAAGCCTCTGGTATGATGTACAAGGACTTCACCAGCAAAGCTAGCTAGCACCTTCGATCATTTTCATTTATTTATGTTAGTCTGTGAAGGTGGGATATTTATTCTAAGCCTCTGGTATGATGTACAAGGACTTCACCAGCAAAGCTAGCTAGCACCTTCAGTCATTTTCATTTATTTATGTTAGTCTGTAAAGGTGGGATATTTATTCTAAGCCTCTGGTATGATGTACAAGGACTTCACCAGCAAAGCTAGCTAGCACCTTCAGTCATTTTCATTTATTTATGTTAGTCTGTAAAGGTGGGATATTTATTCTAAGCCTCTGGTATGATGTACAAGGATTTTTATTTATTTATGTTAGTCTTTGAGCATTTTTATTTTCTGAGGCATCCAACCACAAAAATCCCCTATTTGAATGGTAAAATGAAAACTTAAACTCAAATCAGTTGTTTGAATGGTTTGTTATGGACTTGAAAATTCATTGATATAAATCACTAAAATTAAACACTTGAGCTACATACCAACAACAATAAAAAAGAACATACAATCCAATAAAACACTTGAGCTAGATAGAGTCATTTTCATGGTTTCAAAAGAACAGATCAATCTGTTTCAGCCAAAAAATAAAAAGAAATGCAGCAAAAACTCCTCTCCTGCTTGGCTTTGATCATTAAATCCCTTAGCTGTTAAACACAGGACATAGTACACTTCTGCCTATTTTTTTTTGGTTGACCACTTCATATACAT